TCATTATTCCAAATAAACTTAAAAATTGTTCTACTTATTATTATTATTTTTTAATATACTTATCTGTCTAAATTGATATTTTGTTTTTGTAAGTTGGCATTGATTTTTTTTCTTACATTGTGACTGGTATTTTCGATAATTTACTTTCCGAACGTAAACTAAGAAAGTATTACAACAAATTTTATAAAATAACATACTTCTGTATTTGTGGTTTATGAATTCGCCTTGAATTTTTTCCACTGTCAATCGAAACAACAAAAAAATCGAAAAATTGAAAGATCCAAAAGTTCCCAAAATTGAAATGTTTAAGAATTGATAAATGCAGAACTTGAAGAATCGATAAATTTTAAAAACGAAATACCGAGATGTCAAGTAATCTAATCAAAAAATCAAAAATTTTAAAATTCGGAAAGTTGAAAAATAGGAAAGCTGAAGAATTAAAAAACTGAAAAATTGAAATATCGAGAAAACAAAAAATTTAGAATTTAGAAAAGTTAATAAATCTAAAATTTAAAACACTAAAAAATCGAGAAATTGATAAATTAAAAACTAAAATGGCGAAAAATTCAAACATCTAAAAATTCAAAACTGAAATATCGGAAAATCGAAAAGTTGGATAATCGAAAAACCAAGTCTTTTTAAAATCGAAAGATTGAGAAATCGAAACATCAAAAAGTCGGAAAATGCAAAATTCAGAAATTGAAAAAATCGAAAATCGAGATAACAAAAAATCGAAAACAGTAAAATTTTAAAAACTGAAACAATAAAAAATCAAAAATTTAAATATTCGAAAAATTGAAAAATAGAAATATCAAAGAGATGAAAAATCAAGAAATCGAAAATCAAAAACAAAAAAAATCGCCAAATCGAAAAATGGGAAAATTGAGGAATCAGACTGAAAAATCCAGAAATTGAAAAATTCCTAAAATTGAAATGTTGAAGAATTGATTAATGGAGAAATTGAAAAATCGAGAAATCTAAAAACAACATTCTATGAATTTTAAAAATCGAACAACCGAGATGTCAATGAATCGAATCAAAAAATCGTAAAACACCGAAAAATTTAAAAATCAAACTGAAAAATCAAAAATTTAAAAATTCCAAAAGTTGAAATTGAAAAATTGAAATATCTAGAAACCAAAAAATTTAGAATTTAGAAAACTGATAAATTCAAAATTTGAAATCCAAAAAAATCGAGAAACTGAAAATTTTAAAACTGAAATGACGAAAAATTCAAAAATTGAAACATCGGAAAATCGAAAAGTTGGATAATCGAAAGAAAAATTGCAAAATTCAAAAATTGTAAAATTCCCAAAATCGAAATGTTGAAGAATTGAGAAACGGAAAATTGAAAAATCTATAAATCGAAAAGTCGAAAACTTCAAAAAATCGAAAAATCGAGTTAACAAGAGATCGTGACATTAATCTAAAAAAAGTAAAATTTAAAAAACTGGAACATTAAAAACTCAAAAATGCAAATATTCGAAAAATTGAAAAATAGAAATATTAAAGAGATGAAAAATCTGGACATCGAAAATCAAAAACAAAAAAAAAATCGCAGTCGAAAAATAGGAAAATCCAGAAATTAAAGAATTTGAAAAATCGAGAAATTTAAAAACAAAAATCGATTAAATTTAAAAATCGAAAAACCGAGATGTCAAGGAATCGAATCAAAAAATCGTAAAATACCGATAAATTGAAAAATTAAAAATTTAGAAATTCCAAAAGTTGAAAAATTGGAAAGTTAAAGAATTGAAAAATTGAAATATCGAGAAACCAAAAAATTTAGAATCTAGAAAAGTGATAAATTCAAAATTTAAAATCCAAAAAAATCGAGAAACTGAAATTTTTAAACTGAAATGACGAAAAATTCAAAAATTGAATCATCGGAAAATCGAAAAGTTGGATAATCGAAAAACAAAGAATTTTTAAAGTCGAAAAATCGAGAGATTGAGAAATCGAAACATCAAAATATCGAAAAATTGCAAAATTCAGAAATTGTAAAATTCCCAAAATCGAAATGTTGAAGAATTGAGAAACGGAAAATTGAAAAATCTATAAATCGAAAAGTCGAGAAATTCAAAAAATCGAAAAATCGAGATAACAAGGGATCGTGACATTAAGAAATCTAAAAAAGTAAAATTTAAAAAACTGAAACATTAAAAAATCAAAAATGTAAATATTCGAAAAATTGAAAAATAGAAATATTAAAGAGATGAAAAATCTGGAAATCGAAAATCAAAAACAAAAAAAAAATCGAAAAATAGGAAAATTGAGGAATCAACAGATCGAAAAATCCAGGAATTAAAGAATTTGAAAAATCGAGAAATTTAAAAACAAAAATCGATTAAGTTTAAAAATCGAAAAACCGAGATGTCAAGGAATCGAATAAAAAAATCGTAAAATACCGATAAATAGAAACATCAAAAATTTAGAAATTCCAAAAGTTGAAAAATCGGAAAGTTAAAGAATTAAAAAATTGAAATATCGAGAAATCAAAAAATTTAGAATTTAGAAAAGTGAATAAATCCAAAATTTAGAAAGCTAAAAGATCGAGAAACTGAAAATTTTAAAACTGAAAAGTAAAAAAATCGAAACATTCAGAAATCAAAACATCAAAAATTCGAAAAATCTATAAATGGAAATGCCGAAAAAGTTAAAAAATCGAAAAATCGGGATAACAAGAAATCGTGATACATTTAAGAAATCGATAAAATTGTAAAATCGAAAAAAGTATAATTTAAAAAACTGAAACATTTAAAAATCAAAAATTTAAATACATATTCGAAAAATTGATAAATAGAAATATCAAAAAAATTTAAAAATTCCAAAAGGTGAAAAATCGGAAAGTTGAAGAATTGAAAGATTGAAATATCGAGAAATCAAAAAATTTAGAATTTAGAAAAGTGAATAAATCCAAAATTAAAAAACCTAAAAAATCGAGAAACTGAAATGACGAAAAATCCAAACATCGAAAAATTCAAAAAAATCGTAACTCAAAAGATCTAAAAATCGAACAATCGAAAAATTGAAACATCGGGAAATCGAAAAGTTGGATAATCGAAAAACAAAGAATTTTTAAAAGTGATAAAGCGAAATCTGAAAAGTCGAAAAATCGAAAGATTCTGAAATCGAAACATCAAAAAAAAAAAATGAAAAATCTATAATATACAAGAAATCGAAAAATTGTAAAATCCAAAAAGGTAAAATTTAAAAAACTTGAACATTAAAAAATAAAAGAATCGAGAAATCAAAAACAACAAAAAATCGAAAAATTCCAAAACTGGAACGACGAAAAATTGGAAAACAGGAACAGTGAGAAATATAAACATCGAAAGATCGAGAAACCGAAAAGTCGGGATGTCGAAAAATAAAAAAACTGAAAAATCGAAATACTCCAGAATCAAAAAATCGAGAAGTTAAACAATTGAAAAATCTATAAAAGGAAAAATTGAAAAATTAAAACATCGAAAAATTGAAAGATCGAAAAAGTAAAAATCGGTGAATTGAAAAATCGAAAAGTTGAAATGCGAATAATTGAAGAAGGAAATATTGAAAAATCCAAAACTGACATAACGAAAAGTTGAAAAATGTGAGAAAAATTGGAAAATGGGTAATGCAGAAATTGAACGATCAAAATATCAGAACATCGAAAAATTGAAAAATCGAAAACTGGAACGTCGAAAACTTTAAAAGCCGAAATATTGAAAAATCCAAAAATAAAAGATTTTAAAAATTGAAAAATTAAAATATCGGAAAATTGAAAAAATTAAAAATCGAAAAATCTAAATTTTTAATTCAGTAGTTTCTAAATTATCCTTAGAAAAGAAAAATTGCGTCGGTGGCAATACAATTTTCTGTGTATTTGTTTCTAAGTAATTTGCACTGAGGTTTTTTTAATTACATTTAGTCATGCCACTGTTCAACATATCAAGTCGACATTATTTCATTATCTACGATTACGTTCAGTATGATATATAATTATTTTTTTTATAAGAAGTTTCTCATAATAAATTAAAAAAGAAAAAAACGTTAATCGTTGTTTATTTTACAGGTTTTATTAAAAAAAGATACGCAAAAGTAAAAATATTAAATTCATTAAATTTAAACATTTAATGCCATTAAAGCGTAGTAAATACTAAAGTGTCGACTTTTCATTGTCTTATCCATGAGTCACTTTTATTTCTCTAGATATCTGGGTTCTCTGTTACTTCCTTTTTTGTTGATTCAATCATCCCACAGGCAAATGTCACCGCCTGTTCGAACTGTCAGAGATTTAAACATTGTTTGGATTAAAGTAACACAATAAAAAAAGTCAAATTACAAAAAATAAGAGATGAACCCATTGTTTACCAATTACAGCAGTTTACTTAACGTTTAGCTTCCAGTGTTATCGATTTTCTCCGATGACATTCAATCATGCAAATTCCACACATTTCGGTTTGTCCTTTTTTTAACCTTAGTTGAATTTTTTATATGTCCTTATCCATTATTTAGTTTAAGGTATTTTAGTGTCGTCTGGGATATGTTGCCCCTGCACGTGTTCATTCGGTCGAAAACATCGAGAAGTCGCTTATATTTTATTTTATTTTGCTCGTATACCTGGCTGCATTTGTCACCTCGCTAATGACTTGTTTATACTGACACGTCTATCGGTACAAAATTTGCACTTCATATTCCAGTCTAATGAGGAACTAACAGCTTTGTTTGATGTTTTGATTCCAAGTTTATACCTCTCGTTGCCTCCCACTAACCCCGTTTTGCGGCGCACATGTCAGCCAACAATCTGGAAACGTCAGACTAATTACCAGATCCGACAATTATGCAATAATAATAATATAGGAATTGCGTCGCATATTATAAATTTAGAATTATTGTAGCTCGATCGACGTTTCGTTTTTGTACCAGGTGGAGTTGTGACATTCCACGAACTAAAAGCGGAATATCTTAACAAGCAACTGAAGGAATCCATCGCTCATTTTATTTGTCGTCTTTTCCAGAATATGCCGAGTTCCTTCATTGCAAAGGCAAAAAATTCGTCGACTTCGACGAGGTACGCCGGGAAATTGAAGGGGAGACGGATCGAATCACCGGGAGCAATAAGGGCATCTCGAACATACCGATCAACCTGAGGGTGTATTCCCCAATTGGTAAAGCTGGAGGGTTGTCAAAGAGAACGCAAAGCTAATCACGTTTTTACAGTTTTAAATCTAACACTCATCGATCTCCCTGGTTTGACGAAAGTTCCCATCGGAGATCAGCCCGTCGACATCGAGCAGCAGATTAAGTCCATGATCCTGCAGTTCATAAAAAGGGAATCGTGTCTTATCTTGGCCGTGACGCCAGCCAACACCGATCTGGCCAACTCGGATGCTCTCAAGATGGCGAAGGAGGTCGACATCCAAGGTAACTCGAACGTTTCACATTTTTGTAAATGTAGGCAACCAACATTTACTTTCTGATTTGTCTGATCATCCCTACCCAGACTGTAATGACGTCACCTTAAAATTTTGCGTAGTAAAAGCCATTTCAAAAAAAAAAAAATGTTCTACCATGTCTGTGCATTAATAAACCTCGGACTCTTCAGGCATACGAACCATCGGCGTCATAACCAAACTCGACCTGATGGACGAAGGCACCGACGCGAGAGACGTCCTAGAGAACAAACTTCTACCCTTACGAAGAGGTTACATAGGCGTGGTGAATCGTTCTCAGAAAGACATCGAAGGAAGAAAAGACATCAAGGCGGCTCTGGCCGCCGAGAGGCAGTTCTTTTTGACGCATCCGTCGTACCGCCACCTCGCCGATCGTCTGGGTACCCCCTACTTGCAGAGGGTTCTCAATCAGCAGCTCACCAATCACATCAGGGACACGCTTCCCGGACTCAGAGATAAGTTACAGAAGCAGCTGTTGACGCTCGAGAAGGACGTCGATCAGTTCAAGCACTTCCGGCCGGACGATCCAGCCATCAAGACCAAGGCGATGCTGCAGTGAGTATAGATGGCGTTGTTCGATGTGAAGGTTGTTGAGACGAAAGATTGGCGTAATTGTACTTAATTATATTTAAAACTATGCGTCTCACGTGAATTTGTCAGACCTCGAGACTATTTGATATTTGTAGACGGAAAAGTTTTGTTCAACAAAGCGAAACGAAGTTATGGAAGTCAACACAAACGGGAATATGTGAAATTATTTACACGGAATTTAACGTTCGTAGTGGTAAATATTCATTTGATGAATCCCGAGATGACGTCATTTATTTTCTGGAGGGGATGAATAAATAACACGCGGGAGCGCCAGAAAAACCAACAGATTTCCAGATTCTAGCTCGTCAAGGTGATTGATCATAAAATTTATTTATTCACTCTCCTGAATATCGATGACATCACCATAAAAGAAACTATTAAAATGAAATATACGTCAGAGATGTGTCAAATCAGATTTTTTTTAGAATTAACGTAAGCTAACCTAAGATGTCTTGATTTAGTTTATTGGACTGAGTATTGTCAAATGGTAAAACGGAACGCAAAATTTGTTTGATAATCCCCATCCAAAATTTGATGACGTCATTTCAAAATTTTGCTGACTAAATTGTATTTAAAATGGTCAGAATCCTCCAAGAAAAGAGAGGGTGGGTGGGCGGGGCTAATACCTGCTAAGATAAGACTGATTTTAGCAAATGATGTATCCTCTAAGAAATTTCGAAAAATAAAAAAAGAAAAACGAAAATATCGAAGATTTAAAAAATCAAAAACCTGTAAAATCGAATAATTAAAGAAAATAAATGAAAATTTCAACAATTTTAAATTCAAAATTGAAAAATCCGGAAACTGAAAAATCGAACAATGAAAAAAAACTAAGATAACAAGAAACTGAAAAATCGAACAATTCAGAAAAATCTCAGAAATCGAAAAACAAAGCCCGAAAATATCTAAGAATTAAAGTGTGAAACGAATAATTATGGAAACAAAAAATGGAGAAATTTAAAAATTTAAAATCAAAAAGTCCAAAAATTTCAAATTGAAAAATAGAGAAATTCAAATATCAAAAAACTGGAAAATTATAATCAAAAAATTGATGACTGAAAAATTTTAAATTGAAACTAGATTGAGGGAACAAAAACTGAAAAATCGAGAAACTCAAAAATCGAATAATTAAAAACGAAAAATAAGATAACTAGAAACTGAAAAATCGAAGAATTCAAAGTAGAGAAAAAACTCCGAAATTGAACAATTAAAAAAAAACAAAAATATTATATAATTCGAAACAGAAAAAACTCAAATCGAAAAAAAACCGAAAATATAACAGAATTTAAAAATCAAAAAAGTGAAGATTGAAAAATTATGGAAACAAAAAATGGAAAAATTACAAATCGGAAAAATGGAAAAACAAAAAACTGAAAAATCCAAGAATTCAAAATAGAGAAAAAACTCACAAATCGAAAAAATTAAAGAAAAACGAATGTATCTAAGATTTAAACATGAAAAAACTGTAAAGTCGAAAAATTAAAGAAAACAAAATGAAAAATTGAAAGATCTAGAAACTGAAAAATTGAGAAACTGAAAAATCGAAAAATTTAAGAAACGAGAAATGCAAAATTTGGAGTCAAGAAGTTAAAAAATTAAAAAAATTCAAGTTGAAAAAACGAAAAATTATGAAATCGAAACACGGCAAAAAGGTAAAATGAAGACTGAGAAATTAAAAATCGGAAACTAAATTGAAGGAACGAAAAATTGAAAAATCGAGAAACTCGAAAATTGAACAATGAAAAAAAACTAAGGGGGTGATTCTGGAAACTCCGATAATTTGCAAATCGCTATCGAAGAAACTCAAAAGTCGAACAATTAAAAACGAAAAATAAGATAACTAGAAACTGAAAAATCGAAGAATTCAAACTAGAGAAAAAACTCCGAAATTGAACAACTAAAAAAAAACAAGAATACCTTAAGATTTAAAAAATCAAAAAATTATATACATAATCGGATAATTAAAAAAAAGGAAAAATTGAAAAATTTTAAATCGAAAAATTGAACAATCGGGAAACTCAAAAATCGCACAATGAAAAACGTATAACTAAGATAAGTAACTGAAAAATCGAAGAATTCGAAACAAAAAAAACTCAAATCGAAAAAAAAAACCGAAAATATAACAGAATTCAAAAATTAAAAAAGTGAAAATTGAAAAATTATGGAAACAAAAAATGGATAAAATTAAAAAAAAGTCAAATTGAAAAATCGAAGAATTCAAAATAGAGAAAAAACTCACAAATCTAAAATGAAAAAACTCTAAATTCGAAAAATGAAAGAAAAGATGAAAAATTGAAAAATTTTAAATCCAAAAATTGCAAAATTGAAAAACTTCAGAAATGAAAAATTGATTTTGGCAAGTGACATATCCTCTAAAAAAAGAGAGGGTGGGTGGGCGCGGTGCGTACCTGCTAAGATAAGACTGATTTTAGCAAATGACGTATCCTCTAAGAAATTTAATTAAATTATTATAAAAAAAAGACACTAGAGGCTCCAAAGCACTTTCAAATTCTTTCGAAACGGGAATACCTATAATCTGAAGATTGTTTTAAATTAAAAAAAAAGAAACGGGGTCCGAAAATTAACTCAAAAACAAGTCTGGTCAGAATTTTCCGAAAAGTCCCCCAACATTGTTTTAAACAATTTACAAAAAAATCTCCATGGAGTTCCAAAATAATACATCATGGGTACCCAAGAATCTCCCGAATTAAAAAAAAAACACTAAAACCTCAAAAGATTTTTTTCAGGTTCATCCAGGAGGGGACCTAAAATTAACTGAACATTTTAAATGTAGGTAGGGTTTTGAAAACAAATCCTATCTTAATTGTGCAAAGTAGATGAGTCTACACTTGTGATTTATCACTGCATTAATATTTTTTATTGATCAAATTAAGAACCCAATTTTCCCGAAAATGTGAAAATACAAACGTCTTTATTTAATAAGAATTATAATAATGATACTGATAACGTTTTGTCGATTGTAGCTTACTACTTATAGTTTTGATCCTCTGTTTTGAGGGACGAACTCATTCAAATCAAACTAATGTCTACGTGACATTATTCCGATGTATAAACATAAACACTTTCATGTTGTTTTTCTTATCGAGGATAACCTAAAGACGTACAGTAATGGAGCCCATCGGGCAATTTGGTACTTTCATATATTCTCGATATTTCATAACCCCTAAACAAGGCCGTAGTTAGGGGTTATGAAATATCGAGAAAATATAAATACTTTACTGGAATATGGAAAATTATTCCTTATAATTTTTGTATGTCTGTTTCTTGTAACACTCGCCTTTTTTTTGTATGCGCAATCCCTCGCACATATAATTGTGTCGACGTAACACTCAATGCCTATAATTTCAGTCATCTGATATTTCCCGTCCGGATTTTGTTAAATTAGTAGAAGCAGCCCTTGAACGGATCGAATGATTTGTAATTTTGATTTGGTTCGTATTCGGCCTCACCATTTTAACACTCGTTACACTATTGCTATTTACGCCGAAGATATATAGATTTAGTTTTAGAGAAAAGTGCGATTAAAATATTCGTTACAGCGTCAAGTTTTTTAGCTTTGTTTAACTGGAGATGATTGTGGTCGTTATTTCTGATTCTCTTTTATATAAACTTTTTCCACTGCACCAATTAGAGCAATTTGCATCATTAAGACTCCGAGTTGACAAAGTTGGCGTTCGATTTCAAGAAACGATTCGATAGATGCACATTGTAATAAAAATTCTCCGTAGGTAGGTATTATTGCGTATTCAGAAAAATCCCCGCTTGTTAGAGCAGATTTTCTCCGGGTACTTTCGTAAAATAAAAAATAAATATAAGGGGAGATATTTGAAGTCTAAAAAAAAAAACCTAGCAAATTTATAAAATCAAAGTTATTGCGATGATTTTGCGCAGAGTTGTAGCCACACGCTTTTTATGCAACAGGCGAGAAGCGCATGCACTTCTATAAATCCTATAAGTATTTGCACTCTGTTGAATGCAACAGTCACATCAAAGTTTTCAGTTTGTTAAGACCTGGTTCTAAAATGTGTAACCTATCGGTGAGCACCTAGTAATAGTTTGTGTTAACAATACTAGAAGTCTTCAGCTTATTGTTAAATTAATTACTTTAATTAATTATTTAATATACATTTTTTTTTTTAGTTTGGTTGGTGATTTTTTGCATTTCAGTTAAATTTTCAGGTGCTGGAAAAAAATTGTGAACCTATTTCGTCTGTATTTTAAAACAGTATTAATATTCTTAATCGATTCAAATAATGTACATTTCGTGTCTACTTCATTTTGCCAGTGTTAGTTCTACAGAGTAACAAGCTTAGAAAAGTTCTGAGTCACCATTCTAGTTTTTGATGGCGAAATTGTGTTATTTTAACTTCATTTTGTCAAAATCCAATAGTGAAATTAAACCAACTGGACTAACAAGTTGATGGATTTTTCACGTTCTGAAAAAGTATGGTGAAATGGGTTCACTGATTATGAAGGGTTGGAATTATTTTAAAAATTAAGAGATCAGATTAATTTAGTGAAATGTTTTAACAATGAAGGTGAATGTTCTTCATAGAATAATTTATAGCCGCCTCACACGCACAAAGTTTGGTGAAAGAAAATGGTGATGTTTGAACTTTTTTTTCTACTACTATTAATACACCAAAAATCAAAATAACACTTGCATATGCGATGGCTCAAGCATAGTCAAGTATCCGCGGTAACCAATCCTGATTGTACTTTTTTTTAGTTGTAGAAACTTTGGCATGTCAGGAAAGATGAAGGTTGTATTCAATTTTGTTTAGATTTACGGGAGACTTCAAAATGTGTATTAATAAAATATTCGTGTAGAATAGAGAACATCTAAAACTACTGTCGATTTGTACTCATTTTGTTAAATGTAATGTAAAAGTAATGACTTAAAACATAAAAGACAGGTAAATCCACGGAAATTCTCGCTGTCAGCAAAATTAAAATATAAGAGAAAAAATAACTGAGAGCTGCTTTGTGCATTTGACAACAATATAACCAGTACACAGGACATGGAATGGAAAATGTTCTATTATATAATACGTGTTTGCTGTGAAAAAAATTGTTAGATGGTTAGTTAAATACCCTCATATGTAAGGGCTCAATTGTCATTTAACTATCCACCATACTAACCCCAAAAAACTAACTATAGGAAACCTGAAGTCACGAACTATATATTATTTGATGTACTATACATTGTTAGATGTGTACGTGTTTAGTGTGTGATAGTTTATAAAGACACTAACAGCGTTAACAGAACCTAGTGGAAACCGCAATTGACTTAATAACATCTGATTTGACTAGTGTGACAAAAACATCTCGAACGAAACCCCAACAAATGACACTGTGTCGTGGTCAATGTTAAATTCCCTGAAAAAATAATTAATCAATAAATGTTTAATATAGCTTGCACGCCTCGACGTACGAAAGCTCACTAGTAAAATCATTCATCTTAGCAAACTATCGTATCAATTTCCAAATTGATACGACCAAAACGACAAATTTCGCAATTTAATTCACGACTACATGAAAGTCGCGTATGAATGATTTTACTAAGGTGTTCACGCAAATCCACAGATCGAGAGATGGCTCCACCAAATTTTGTGCATATCCATCGCGACTCTGTTTTCTTTCCTACGAAGAAGTCTGTTAGACCACAACGCCAACTGGCGCTGTTTGAGACACTCGAGGTACGTTTGATGTGTCAAATACCGTCAATCTTTCGTCTCTCGACAATCTCACTAAAATAAACTCGTTTTTCATTTTTTCTTAATTGTCAGGATGATCCAGCAACTGCAAACGGACTTCGAGCGAACCATCGAAGGTTCGGGATCCGCACAAATCAACACGATGGAGTTGTCCGGAGGCGCGAAAATTAATCGTTTGTTCCATGAACGTTTTCCGTTTGAAATCGTTAAGATGGAGTTCGACGAGAAAGAACTGAGGAGGGAAATAGCGTTCGCTATTAGGAATATACACGGTATTAGGGTGAGTGGTGGTCGTGTTGAGGGGACGAAGTTTGATTGTGTTTTTTTAGGTTGGTTTGTTCACTCCAGATATGGCGTTTGAAGCTATCGTCAAAAAGCAGATTGCTAGATTAAAAGAACCGTCACTGAAGTGCGTGGATTTGGTGGTGACTGAGCTGTCTAATGTAGTCCGTATTTGTACAGACAAAGTGAGTAGATTTTGATGGCTTGAATTTGCGTAAGAAAATAATGAGGATGATTAGAAGTTGTCTCGGAAGCAGAAAACTAGCTTACGTTATTACTCAGTGAAGTAGTTTTCGAAATAAGAGGTTGTTCTTTCGCTTTGAGTTTATTTGACACTAATTGATAATTATTTCAATTATTTTCTTGAGTTTGTAGTCGTTTTTATAATGTGTATTGATCTTGCGTCAAGTATTGCAAGTCTTTGTGATTTATTCTCACGTATCTACGTTATTTTTGAAGAAGTTAGAGCTCTAGAACTTACTTCCGGCTTCGTTTTTTTGATAACTGTAACCGTTTTTTCAGAATCGTCCCTTGAAATATCGAAAGTTTTAGAAATTTTCAAAAATTCGCATTTCGGACCGATTCTTTCGAAAATGTCGCGCTATATTTTTGGAATCAGCATGTCGAGATCTACGTCCCTGAATTTTTTCAGAATTTTTAGACAACTTTTTTAAAAGTGAAAATTTTCCAATGGTCTCCAAATTTCGGCGAATGTTTGACATTTTCGACACTTAACTAAACACATTTTTTTGTAGATTTCGAGCTCTAGAACTCACTTCCGGCTTTGTTTCTTTGATAACTGCAACCGTTTTCCCAGAATCGTCCGTTGAAATATCGAAATTTTTAGAAATCTTCAAAAATTCGCATTTCGGACCGATTCTTTCGAAAATGTTGCTCCGTGACCATCGACACGCTATATTTTTGGAATCAGCATGTCGGGATCTACGTCCCTGAATTTTTTCACATTTTTTAGAGAACTTTTTTAAAAGTGAAATTTTTCCAATCATCTTTTCTTCAAATATCGGCCAATTTTTGACATTTTCGAAACTTAACTGAATACATTTTCTTGTAGATTTCAAGCTCTAGAACTCACTTCCCGTCTCGTTTCTTTGATAACTGTAACCGTTTCTCCAGAATCGTCCCTTGAAATATCGAAATTTTTAAAAATTTTCAAAAATTCGCATTTCGGACCGATTCTTTCGAAAATGTTGCTCCGTGACCATCGACATGCTATATTTTTGGAATCAGTACGTCGAGCTCTACGTCCCTGAATTTTTTCACAATTTTTAGACAACTTTTTTAAAAGTGAAATTTTTCCAATCATCTTTTCTTCAAATATCGGCAAATTTTTGACAGTTTCGAAACTTAACTGAATACATTTTCTTGTATATTTCAAGCTCTAGAACTCACTTCCGGTCTCGTTTCTTTGATAACTGTAACCGTTTTTCCAGAATCGTCCCTTGAAATACCGAAATTTTTAAAAATTTCCAAAAATTCTCATTTCGGACCGATTCTTTCGAAAATGTTGCTCGGTGACCATCGACATGCTATATTTTTGGAATCAGTACGTCGAGCTCTACATCCCTGACTTTTTTCACAATTTTTAGACAACTTTTTTAAAAGTGAAATTTTTCCAATCATCTTTTCTTCAAATATCGGCAAATCTTTGACAGTTTCGAAACTTAACTGAATACATTTTCTTGTATATTTCAAGCTCTAGAACTCACTTCCGGTCTCGTTTCTTTGATAACTGTAACCGTTTTTCCAGAATTGTCCCTTGAAATACCGAAATTTTTAAAAATTTTCAAAAATTCTCATTTCGGACCGATTCTTTCGAAAATGTTGCTCGGTGACCATCGACATGCTATATTTTTGGAATCAGTACGTCGAGCTCTACATCCCTGAATTTTTTCACAATTTTTAGACAACTTTTTTAAAAGTGAAAATTTCCCTTCAAATATCGGCGAATTTTTGACGTTTTCGAAACTTAACTAAATAAATTTTCTTGTAGATTTCGAGCTCTAGAACTCACTTACGGTCTCGTTTCTTTGATAATTGTAACCGTTTTTCCAGAATCGTCCGTTGAAATATCGAAATTTTTAGAAATCTTCAAAAATTTGCATTTCGGAGCGATTCTTTCGAAAATGTTGCGCCGTAACCATCGACACGCTACATTTTTGAGATCAGCATGTCGAGATCTACGACCCTGAATTTTTTCACAATTTTTAGAGAACTTTTTTAAAAGTGAAAATTTTCCAATGGTCCCCCTTCTTAAAATTTCGGCCAAATTTTGACATTTTCGAAACTTAACTAAAAATATTTTCTTCTAGATTTCGAGCTCTAAAACTCACTTCCGGCTTCATTTCTTTGATAACTGTAACCGTTTTTCCAGAATCGTCCATTGAGAAATATCGAAATTTTTAGAAATCTTCAAAAATTCGCATTTCGTCCGATTCTTTCGAAAATGTTCCTCCGTGACCATCGACATGCTATATTTTTGGAATCAGTACGTCGAGATCTACGTCCTTGAATTTTTTCACAATTTTTGGACGACTTTTTTAAAAGTGAAATTTTTCCAATCATCTTTTCTTCAAATATCGGCAAATCTTTGACAGTTTCGAAACTTAACTGAATACATTTTCTTGTATATTTCAAGCTCTAGAACTCACTTCCGGTCTCGTTTCTTTGATAACTGTAACCGTTTTTCCAGAATCGTCCCTTGAAATACCGAAATTTTTAAAAATTTCCAAAAATTCTTATTTCGGACCGATTCTTTCGAAAATGTTGCTCGGTGACCATCGACATGCTATATTTTTGGAATCAGTACGCCGAGCTCTACATCCCTGAATTTTTTCACAATTTTTAGACAACTTTTTTAAAAGTGAAAATTTCCCTTCAAATATCGGCGAATTTTTGACGTTTTCGAAACTTAACTAAATACATTTTCTTGTAGATTTCGAGTTCTGGAACTCACTTACGGTCTCGTTTCTTTGATAATTGTAACCGTTTTTCCAGAATCGTCCGTTGAAATATCGAAATTTTTAGAAATCTTCAAAAATTTGCATTTCGGAGCGATTCTTTCGAAAATGTTGCGCCGTAACCATCGACACGCTACATTTTTGAAATCAGCATGTCGAGATCTACGACCCTGAATTTTTTCACAATTTTTAGAGAACTTTTTTAAAAGTGAAAATTTTCCAATGGTCCCCCTTCTTCAAATTTCGGCCAAATTTTGACATTTTCGAAACTTAACTAAATATATTTTCTTCTAGATTTCGAGCTCTAAAACTACTTCCGGCTTCATTTCTTTGATAACTGTAACCGTTTTTCCAAAATCGTCCATTGAAATATCGAAATTTTTAGAAATCTTCAAAAATTCGCATTTCGTCCGATTCTTTAGAAAATGTTCCTCCGTGACCATCGACATGCTATATTTTTTAAATCAGTACGTCGAGATCTACGTCCTTGAATTTTTTCACAATTTTTGGACGACTTTTTTAAAAGTGAAATTTTTCCAATCATCTTTTCTTCAAATATCGGCGAATTTTTGACATTTTCGAAACTTCACTGAATCCATTTTCTTGTAGATTTCGAGCTTTAAAACTCACTTCCGGTCTCGTTTCTTTGATAACTCTAACCGTTTTTCCAGAATAGTCCGTTGAAATATCGAAATTTTTTGAAATTTTCAAAAATTCGCATTTCGGACCGATTCTTTCGAAAATGCTGCTCAGTGACCATCGACACGCTATATTTTTGGAATCAGCACGTCGAGATCTACGTCCCTGAATTTTTTTAGTATTTTTAGAGAACTTTTTTAAAAGTGAAAATTTTCCAATGGTCCCCCCTTCTTCAAATTTCGTCCAAATTTTGACATTTTCGAAACTTGACTAAATACATTTTCTTGTAGATTTCGAGCTCTAGAACTCATTTCCGGCTTCGTTTCTTTGATAACTGCAACCGTTTTCCCAGAATCGTCCATTGAAATATCGAAATTTTTAGAAATTTTCAAAAATTCCCATTTCGGACCGATTCTTTCGAAAATGTTCGTCCGTGACCATCGACATGCTATATTTTTGGAATGAGCATGTCGAGATCTATGTCCCTGAATTTTTTCAGAATTTTTAGACAACTTTTTTAAAAGTGAAAATTTTCCAATGGTCCCCCCTTCTTCAAATATCGGCGAATTTTTGACATTTTCGAAACTTGACTAAATACATTTTCTTGTAGATTTCGAGCTCTAGAACTCACTTCCGACTTAGTTTCTTTGATTACTGTAACCGTTTTTCCAGAATTGACGCTTGAAATATGGAAATTTTTAAAAATTTTGGAAAATTCGCATTTTGTTCCGATTTTTTCGAAAATGTTGCTCATGTGACCATCGACACGCTATATTTTTGGAATCAGCACGTCGAGATCTACGTCCCTGAATTTTTTCAGTATTTTTAGAGAACTTTTTTAAAAGTGAAAATTTTCCAATGGTCCCCCCTTCTTCAAATTTCGTCCAAATTTTGACATTTTCGAAACTTGACTAAATACATTTTCTTGTAGATTTCGAGCTCTAGAACTCACTTCCGGCTTCGTTTCTTCGATAACTGTAACCGTTTTTCCAGAATCGTCCGTTGAAATATCAATTAATCAACTAATTATTTTTTTTCGAAAATATCGACTTTAAAACAAAAAAATTTAAATTGTAAATTCAACTTTGATAATTTTATTTAATTACAATTCGAGTTAAGGAAACTTCGGAACCCGGGAAACCACGAAACTGCACGATTTTCACCTGATAATTTGTCTCGTAGATGTCGCGGTACCCCCGCCTCCGAGAAGAAGCCGAGCGCATCATCACCACCCACATCCGCCAGCGCGAGCAGTACTGCAAGGAGCAACTCTGCCTCCTCATCGACTGCGAACTCGCGTACATGAACACGAACCACGAAGATTTCATCGGGTTTGCAAAGTGAGTCAAAACCGGTCAAACCCTAAAGTCATCCTAAATTTCTTCATTCCAGCGCCCAGAACCAGTCCGAAAACGCGTCTAAGACGGGCTCGCGAGGTACCTTAGGCAACCAGGTCATCCGAAAGGGTTACATGTGCATCCACAATTTGGGTATAATGAAAGGGGGTTCCAGAGACTACTGGTTCGTGCTAACGTCGGAGAACATCTCCTGGTACAAGGACGAGGAGGAGCGCGAGAAGAAGTACATGCTGCCTCTGGACGGGCTCAAACTTCGGGACATCGAGCAGGGATTCATGTCGAGGAGACACATGTTCGCGCTCTTCAACCCAGACGGTGGTAGGAACGTTTACAAGGTAGAGGGCGACGAGGCGGCGTGAGTGGGTTTTGATGGGGTTTCTTGTAGGACTACAAGCAGCTGGAGTTGAGTTGCGAGACTCTGGACGAAGTGGATTCGTGGAAAGCGTCGTTCCTGAGGGCCGGAGTCTACCCGGAGAAGCAAACGGAGCAAGTTAATGGAGAGGAGGTGAGTGGTATAGGGGGGGGGGGGATGTGGCATGTTGGTGTATTACGGTACAGAGAACTCTGACACACACATACACACAGCTTTTTATTTAGCGTATCGATGTGTTTTTCTTTTTTTCGGAAGTTGTTACTCTATTTTAGAAATCGTGTTAAAGTGCATTCAAACTGCCTGATGGTCATTTGCTTGCACCTTAATGCTTCTAAACACCTTGAAAACTACAGGATTCTCAATAGTGTGTTGTTATGTTTTTTCGACGTTTCATGATCCTTAAGAGTACGAAAAAATAGGTCTCCCGTTTCCATCTGTCTGCCGTCTGTCCGAATTTTTATAAATTTACATTTTGCCCATTGCAATTATGTACAGAAGTTATAATAATTATCGCAATAAATTTGATATTTTCAATTGTAGTTTACGCCAGATCAAAAATGCACATCTATAACAGTCTACTAATTTTTAACTATTTAATTATGCATTTCCAACAATCTAATTTAGACCTAAATTACCACCCTAATAATTGGTTTTTCTGTAGGGGTGGTCAATAATAATAATAGTAATAATTAGTAAATATTTCAATTTAATAAAATGATAATCCTTCACATGTGGTTTATGAATCCGTGTTCAGTTTTTTCCCCTAGAAAATCAAAATTGTCTAACAGTATTTTGCAATTTAATTATGAAACTGCAAAACCGAATGCTCTGGAATTTTGCAAACGTTTTAAGGTTATCGTAATCATGGTAAATCGTTAATCAAATGTGATTCGTTTATCTCGTAAAAAAATATATATATTTTCAATTTTTGTTTCGAGTTTCAAGTGAAAATAGCTGCGGTAGTGTCATTTACGCTATTGATTTTTATTTTGAGGGGTTATCAGAAATCAAAAATCTCAAATTTTTTCAATAATTTTTACTTCCCGAGCGTAAGCAAAGGAAGTATTGTAATCGAGTCCGTCGGCCGACTCTCTACTTTTACGTTTTCTCGATCTTTCATGACCCCTAGAAGACGAAGAAATAGGTCTCCCATTTCCGTCTGTCTGTCTGTCTGTCCGTCTGTTGTCCCGGATTTTTATTAGACAGATAATCTCCGAAAGTACTCGACCGATTGTTGTGAAATTTTGTACTTATATTAAGAATATCATGTAGATGGTAAAACGCTAACCAAAATTTGTCTAATCATCCCCACCACTAATGCGATGACGTCACTTCAAAATTGTACATAGTAAATGGGTTTTCAATTGTATAAAATAACATAGTCCTACACATGTAGTTTACAACTCTGAATCGACTTTTCACCCGAAACATCCAGATTTTTGGAAAAAAAATCAAAATTATAAAACAACATTTTGAAATTTAATTTTTAATCTGCTAACCAGAATGCTTTGAAATGTTGCAGATGTTTTAAGGCTATAAAGAGCATCATAAATCTTTAGTCAAAAAATATTTGCTTATCCCCTCCAAAAACTTGATGACGTCAGCTCAAAAGTTTGTGGAATAAATCATATCTAAAATGTACAAAATATGATGAGTCTGTACTTGTGATCTATCACTCCATTCATATTTTTTGGATTTGCATATACAGGGTGACTCAAAAAAATTAATGAATGCGTAAATTTATTTTACTGATTTACTCAGAAACTACAAAACTGAATGCTTTGAAATCTTGCAGATGTTTTAAGGTCATAAAGAGCATAATAAATGTTTAGTCAAAATATATTTGCTTATCCCCTCCAAAAACTTGATGACGTCAGCTCGAAAGTTTGCCGAATAAATCATATCTAAAATGTACAAAATATGATGAGTCTGTACTTGTCATTTATCACTCCATTCATATTTTTTGGTTTGCATATACAGAGTGACTCAAAAAAATTAATGAATGCGTAAATATATTTTATTGATTTAATCAGGAACTACAAAACGGAATGCTCTGAAATCTTGCAGACGTTTTGAGGTTTTAAAGAGCATAATAAATGTTTAGTCAAAATATATTTGCTTATCCCCTCCAAAAACTTGATGACGTCAGCTCGAAAATTTGCCGAATAAATCATATCTAAAATGTACAAAATATGATCAGTCTGTACTCGTGATCTATCACTCCATTCATATTTTTTGGATTTGCATATACAGGGTGATTCAAGAAAATAAATTAAAGCGTAAATTTATTTTACTGATTTACTCAGGAACTACAAAACCGAATGCTTCGAAATCTTGAAGATATTTTAAAATTATCATAAGCATGGTAAATTTTTGATCAAAATGTATTTGGTCGTCCCCCCTAAAAAATTTATGACGTCACCACAAAATTTTGCTGAATAAATCCTATCTAAAATGTACAAAATATGGTGAGTCTCTTCTTGTGATTTATCATTCCATTCAAATTTTTTCGATTTGCATATACAGGATGACTCAAAAAAATTAATGAATGCGTAAATTTATTTTATTGATTTAATCAGGAACTACAAAACCGAATGCTTTGAAATCTTGCAGATGTTTTAAGGTTATAAAGAGCATAATAAATTTTTAGTCAAAATATATTTGGTTATCTTCTACAAAAAACTGATGACGTCAGCTCAAAAGTTTGCCGAATAAATCGTATCTAAAATGTACAAAATATGATGAGTCTGTACTTGTGATTTATCATTCCATTCATATTTTTGGATTTGCATATGCAGGGTGACTCAAAAAAATTAATGAATGCGTAAATATATTTTATTGATTTAATCAGGAACTACAAAACCGAATGCTCTGAAATCTTGCAGATGTTTTAAGGTCATAAAGAGCATAATAAATGTTTAGTCAAAATATATTTGCTTATCCCCTCCAAAAACTTGATGACGTCAGCTCGAAAGTTTGCCGAATAAATCATATCTAAAATGTACAAAATATGATGAGTCTGTACTTGTCATTTATCACTCCATTCATATTTTTTGGTTTGCATATACAGAGTGACTCAAAAAAATTAATGGATGCGTAAATATATTTTATTGATTTAATCAGGAACTACAAAACGGAATGCTCTGAAATCTTGCAGACGTTTTGAGGTTTTAAAGAGCATAATAAATGTTTAGTCAAAATATATTTGCTTATCCCCTCCAAAAACTTGATGACGTCAGCTCGAAAATTTGCCGAATAAATCATATCTAAAATGTACAAAATATGATCAGTCTGTACTTGTGATCTATCACTCCATTCATATTTTTTGGATTTGCATATACAGGGTGATTCAAGAAAATAAATTAAAGCGTAAATTTATTTTACTGATTTACTCAGGAACTACAAAACCGAATGCTTCGAAATCTTGAAGATATTTTAAAATTATCACAAGCATGGTAAATTTTTGATCAAAACGTATTTGGTCGTCCCCCCTAAAAAATTTATGACGTCACCACAAAATTTTGCTGAATAAATCCTATCTAAAATGTACAAAATATGGTGAGTCTCTTCTTGTGATTTATCATTCCATTCAAATTTTTTCGATTTGCATATACAGGGTGACTCAAAAAAATTAATGAATGCGTAAATTTATTTTATTGATTTAATCAGGAACTACAAAACCGAATGCTTTGAAATCTTGCAGATGTTTTAAGGTTATAAAGAGCATAATAAATTTTTAGTCAAAATATATTTGGTTATCTTCTACAAAAAACTGATGACGTCAGCTCAAAAGTTTGCCGAATAAATCGTATCTAAAATGTACAAAATATGATGAGTCTGTACTTGTGATTTATCATTCCATTCATATTTTTGGATTTGCATATACAGGGTGACTCAAAAAAATTAATGAAGGCGTGAATTTATTTTATCGATTTAATCAGGAATTACAAAACCGAATACTTTGAAATCTTGGGAATATTTTAAAGTTATTATAAGCATGGTAAACTTTTGTTCAAAATGTATTTGTTCATCCCTCCTAAAAAAATTGATGACGCCACCCTTAAATTTTGCTGAATAAATCCTATCTAAAATGCAAAAAATATGATGAGTTTGTACTTGTGATTTATCATTCCATTCATATTTTTTAGATTTTCTTAAGAGGTGGTTCAAAAAAATTAATGAAGTCAATTTATTTTATTGATTAAATTAAAGGCAACACTTATTATTAGTATTACACCCCAACCAACCCAATTTGGTAAACACAAAATTTGTTAAAGGAAAAACTCGGTTGAAACATAAGAGTAGCACGCTTATTTACATCGACTTTAACATTACAGACCTGCATTTGTTTTATGCGCTCACTTGGTTCCGCGAATGTGAAATAGACATGTTTATAATCAACCAATTGTGAATTTCACCGTCAAGAATTAAAATAAAACCCAATGTTTTATATAATAAGCGGAAGTCGAAGCAATAAAACCGATGGTCGTTTCGTTTACAGTTTCTCTGTTTGACTCTCACGTATGCTGTTACGCTTGTCATCTTAAATTAAGAATGTTTATACATAAACGATTTTCAGTTGCCGTATACGTGAGTAAATTGTTTCGTTATTTTATTGATTATAAAAAATCAATATTCAAAACGACCCAATTCATTTTCCCGAAAATTTGGGAATACAATAATTTTATTCTTAGTATTACACTACATCTATCCCAACTGATATACGTGTCCTTGCAAAAATGTTGACGTCATCGCAATTTTTTTTAAATTCCCACTACAAAAATGTAATGAGAAAAAAACACAATAGCCATGCAGTCGTCAAGTTTCCGACAGCGAGGGAAGTACTGTCTAAACTCTTTAGACCAATTTTTTCATAAAATTGTGACGGTTTGCGCAACACACATCGAGAATTCTCATTTTTGTTGACTTTACTCTCTCTTTCTTTTTAAATTTGGTTGGCCCATTTGCAAGGTATAGACACTATTTATATACTGATGATTGCATTTTCTTGTTTATCAGAAGCGCCGGGCAAGTATTGCATAAAGAAGTCCTGTGACTGGTCAGATGATTTTCGCATCTCTTGTGTTTTGATTGGTTCCTAGTTACGTGTGATCAAAATATTGGCGAATCGCCGAGAAGGCACGCGCCAATTTTTGATCATGCGCGGTGTGCCGTTGATTAACATTCGGATGTACATAATAACTTTAACTCTGCATTTTTTTTTGTGGAGTAACACAACCTCATTTTGCTATACCTTGTGAGTACTTTGCATGTTACTAACCTGGTGTGTTTGTGTGTTTCGCTTTTCCGCCGCAGGGAGAAAATTATCAGGTTCGTAAAACAGAAGAGTAGTGAGTTTAGAGTTGAGTTTTGGGGATTTGTAACAAGTTTACGTCTTCTTGTGTCGTCGAAATGGTTTTATTTGTTAAATGAAAAATTGCTTTTTTTACAAATAAATTTAACAATATTAATTTTTTTCTATGTTATTTGAATATATGTACACCCTATTCTACATTAACTATGCATGATTATGTTTTTAATTTTGTGTACATGTATCTCAAAAAACAACTAATCCTTTCCAATACCGTACGTTCGATTTACCAACGAATCACCTACTTTAGACCGGCGGCGAGAACGTCAGCAGCTCCATTGATCCCCAGCTCGAGCGTCAAGTCGAAACGATCCGAAATCTGGTAGACAGTTACATGAGAATCGTAACAAAAACCACCCGAGACCTGGTACCAAAAACCATAATGTACATGATAATCAACCACACCAAAGACTTCATCAACGGCGAACTCCTAGCACACATCTACGCCAGCGGCGATCAAGTACGTAAACAAACAAAAATAATAATATAAATCATTCACACCTCCACTCATAGGCGCAAATGATGGAAGAAGCCCCCGAAGAGGCCCAGAAACGCGAAGAAATGCTGCGAATGTACCACGCGTGCAAGGAGGCGCTGCGCATCATCGGCGACGTGTCCATGGCGACGGTGTCGACGCCCGTGCCGCCCCCGGTCAAGAACGACTGGCTGGCGAGCGGCCTGGAGAACCCCAGGTTGTCGCCGCCGAGTCCTGGCGGGCCCAGGAAGACGGCGCCCAACATGGGACAGGTCGGCAGCAGCGGTGAGTGCGGTTTGATTTTGTGGTGGACGGAGGGTTAATCAATGTGGTAGGTTCGTTAGGTTCGCGAGCGCCGCCCCCGCCGCCGAGTTCCGGAAGGCCGGCGCCCGCCATCCCGAACAGGCCTGGCGGCGGAGTGCCGCCGATGCCCCCAGGGAGACCTCAAGGACAAGCCTTGCCTGCACCGCTCGTACCAACGTAAGTAGTCGCTTCGTAACTAACGATTCGAGGAAGTTATCAATCTGAATCCAATGTCGAAATGACGTGGTCGGAGGGTGGGCTGGGGTAATTTGGGGTGGTTTTTCTATGATAATAGGGTGTGATTGAGGATAAAACCAATTAGGTTGGTACTACTGTTGTTAAATGTTGACATTTAGCGTTAAATTGATGGCAGTGATACCACCCAAAGTTTGACAGGCAACGCCAACTTGTAATTCGTTTTATTTTCGATTGCACAATAATCGCTCATGAGTGTGTGTGAGAGAGAGAGATAGGGAAAAAGTGTCATTGGAAAAGTTTTCCTGATTTCATTAGTTGAATTAGTTAGACATTGTAGTCTCATTATATGTTTAGGTTGACTTGCGACTTTTATGTTTTCTCGTCGCTTCAGTGAATTTTTTTTAATCTTATAAAATAAGATACTTGTGGTGTATGAATCCGTGTTGAATTTTCACCCTAGACATCCAAAGTTTTGGAAACAAACTAAAATTTTATAACAACATTTTGCAATTTAACTTTGAACTTGCAAAAGCGAAAACAAAATTGGAGCCGTCATCTCAAAATTTTGCCGAATAAATCTTCCAAAGTATGCAAAATATGATGACATTATATAAGGTGACTCAAAAATATAATACAAGTTTTGTTTTTTTCATGCCTTTTTTTTTTAATGTTTCTTTCGAATTTATAATTTTTCGTTTATTTCATTTTTCAATTTTGCGCTTTTTCGATATTTAAGTTTCTATTTTTAATTTTTCGCTTCTTCAATTTTTCAAGTTCTCGATTTCAAAATTTTCATTTTATGCTTTTGGGTTTTTTTCATTTTTGATTTTCCAGTTTTACTATTTTTCCATTTTTTTTTTGATTCGAAAAAAATAGAAAAATCGGAAAAAATTGAAAAATCGAAAAACTAGTCAGAAAAAATTTAAAAATCAAAAAAGTGGAAAATTGAAGAACTAAAGAACTGAAAAATTGCGAAGAAGAAAAGACGAATCGAATCGAAAAATTATGGAAACGTCAACACATTGAAAAAAGAAAAAATTGAAATCAGAACATTGAAATTTTTCCATTTTTCATTGTTTGGTTTTTTAGTTTCTCAATTTTTTATTTTTCGATTTTTCAGTTTGTCATTTCCTCAATTTTTCAAGTTCTTGATTTTTATTTTTCCTTGTGCCGATTTTTTAGTTTTTTCATTTTCTCGATTTTATATCACAAATTTCAAATTTTTAATCTTTGATTTTTTCAAATTCCTCGTTTTTTCATTTCTTACTTATCCGATTTTCCGATTTCTTTAATTTCAATACATATTTCATTTTTTCGATTTTGCACTTTTTCGATATGTTTCGCAATTTTTCAATTTTATAAATTTTTCGTTTCTTCAATTTTTTAAGTGTTTGATTTCAAAATTTTCATTTTATGCTTTTTCGTTTTTTTAATTTTTGATTTTCGACAAACTAAAAAATCAGAAAAAAGAAAACTCGGAAAACTAAAAAATGAGAAAAAACTGCAAAATCGAAAAAGTGGAAAATCAAAGAACTGAAGAAACGAAAAATCGAAATGTTTTTCAATGTTTACTAAAAATAAAAAAAAATGAGTCGCAAAATTGGAAAGAAGGAAAAACGAATTGGATCGAAAAATTGAAAAATCAAAAAATTATTGAATCGTCAAAATTGTGAAGTCGAAAAACTAAGGTTGAAAGATCGAACAATTGAAATATGAAAAAGTTTTAAAATCCAATAAATGAAAGAAAAATGGAAAAATTCTAAAATCGTCAAATTGAAAACCCGAAAAATTGCAAATGAAAAATTGAAAAATCGAGAAACTGAAAATCGTAAAATTGCAAATCGAAATATTGAAAAATTCAAAAATTGAACATTTTCACATTGAAACAACAAAAATTATGAAATCACAATTCTTCCGTTTTTCAATCTTTCGGTTTTATAATTTTTCATTTTATTCAATTTTTATTTTATAAGTTTTGCAATTTTTCGATATTGCCGTTTTTCATTTTTCGGTTTTTTGGTTTCTCATTTATCAATTTTTCAAGTTGTTGGTTTTTATTTTTCCTTTTGCCGATTTATATATATTTTTTTTCAATTTCTCGATTTTGTATCAAAATTTTTCGTTTTTTTTATTCCCTTTATTTTTGCAATGTTTCTTTGGAATTTCTTTGATTTTTCAATTCGTCGATTTTTCATTTCTTACATTTTTCAATTTTGCATTTTGAATTTCTCACTTATTCGATTCTCCGATTTCTTTAATTTTTAATATTTCAAAATTTTCATTACATGCTTTTTGTTTTTTATTTTTATTTTTTTTATTTTTGATATTTCAGTGCTACTATTTTTCCATTTTTTTGATTAAAAAAATTGAAAAATCAAAAAAATCTGAATAAACAATTGTTTTACCCTGTATGAATAAAGTCATTATTATTATTATTAAAATTGAAAAATTACAAATTGAAAACTCGCGAAATTTTAAATCGAAAAATTAAAAAAAATAAACTTAAAATTGCACTTCTGCACGACCAAGATGACCGCGGACTCAGGGGTACCAATCACGTAAAAACAAATAATTTTGTCCCAAATTTTGGTTGGCAACAAATGAATCTTTTAAATTAAGCACCACATTCGATCGATGGATTTCGTTGCGCCAAATTTAAAATGAGGGGAAATCAGCCCAGATGATTCATTGTTGCCAACCTAAATTTGGGGTGCGGACAAATATTACCATGTTTTTTACTCGATTGGTACTAATATCTTAGTCAAATTGAAATTGAAAAACTGAAGAATTGAAAAATTCAATTCGAAAAAGATGCTACGGCACTGGTTTTTCCTTTATAGCGGTTATCAGAAAACAGAAATTGCACCAATTTTTACATACAGGTGTACCAACATTACAAGTGTAAAATAAATTTTCAAATACATCTGTTCCACGCATCAAAGTTGTATTTTTTAAGCGATAGGGAAGCAACTATTTCAATGACAGTAGCGACATTTTGTGAGTGGAAACATACTAAATCAGCTTATTGTTTTGTTTGTCGTCATTGTTCACCTTTTTTGTTACAAGCACATTACCATTTCGACACTTATCTTTACAATTTTTGCTATTCTTCTTGCGTAGTAACAGCTAATCAGATTAGTTGTTTTGTCATTATTTCTATCATGTTATCATCGTTTACTTATTTTTCATTAAAAATATATGGACGTGTTGTAACGCGCAATATAGTTCGATTTCGTTTCCTCATTGGATCAGAAGCATCGTCTGAAAGCAGGACCACAGGTTAATGGGACTTGTGGTTTATTTTCAGGAGGCGTTAAGAGCATATTAACCACCACTAACCTATTGTTGACATCAATTATTCGTAAATTATAAGCTCTGAGTGGGCTTGTAATATGTTACTAGTTGTTTGCACAGTTGATTTCTCCGTGTTACCATGTTTTGATGATGTTACTTTGTTTAATGTAGGGTGAAATAAACTGTGTGAAATTCGTACTAACTAGGGTGCTATGTTTGTTACACGCTTTCGCTTATAGTAATGTATCATGTCTTGTCAAATATCTTGTAAAAAATGTTATGATTGTACATTTAAATTATTGTCTACTGTATATTCCGATGTTACCAGTGCTTATTCTTCTAAAACAACCATATAAAACTGTTGCATCCGTTATTCTAAACTAACACAACATTTAACGGAAAGTAGTGTTGTATCGTCTGGAATTGCCATTAGCCATCTCGCGCGTTCTCTACAATAGTTAATATACAGGGTGTAGTCGAAAGTACGGTTGCCTTTGTCGTTTCTATGTGCGATGTATAGGATATTCTAATCGTAGTTGTAAGTCTGTGTTTCTAAAATAGTTCGTCTTCGGCTGCGTGTGTCAAAATGGCGAGAGTTTGTCAACGATATTTTTAACGGATTTAACGTTACTTTGGAAGCGAAGATAATCGAAAATATATGTACAGTAAATGTTCCAAACAATGAGTATGGCTGTTTAAAATTCGTGTGTTTCTTTTTCCTTTACGAACACTCGGAAATATACACATGCTACCTCAAATTCATTTAAAGGAATTCTTTTAATGTCGCGTCATCAATCAAAACGCTTGTGCGGCGCCATTTTGCGACGCGGAAAAAGAAAAATTCAAAATTCGCGCCACTTTTGCTACATTCTGTATATTCGAAAAACTCGGACTGGCATGTATGGTAGGCAATCGAGACTTAATCGAATGATAAGAATTGTCTCTGTAACAGTCGAGTTGGGGGCCAAGGACCGCAAGGGGGCGTTCAAGTGCCCCCTCAGGTGCAGATGGCAGTTGGAAGAGCTGTAACCAATGCTGCTATCAACGAACTCTCCAATGCCTTCAAGTTCCATAAGTAATTTTCGTTTTTAACATGCTTGTACTTCAATAACTACATCATCTCAATCATACTAACACTTGTTTGTCAACATCAGACACAGCATGTCCTAACTGTCGAGCGAGTCATGACAATTTTGTTATAATATATATACACATTGTACGAAAAAAGGGGCTGTGCGCTAGCGCGATTGGCAGTTCTAACCTCAAAACGTTGACATTTCAGAAGGACTACCAACCGCGGTTGGTGATCACAGCCGACTGAGACTAGTTTTTTGCCGAACATTCCATGACAACAACTTAAGGGGCATCCACAGGTGTCCCGTAGTCTAGGTCGAAATAATTTAAGCATTTTTAAGAGTCGATGTGCTAGATGCAGACGCACATTCCAAAAATATGATCTTCCGTGTAGTGTACGACGTAACCAAAACTGGATGTCTATTCTATCGCTTTCTATAACAAGACGCTTACTACATATAAAAATAGTACATCGGTGTTTCATACTTGCATTGATTTTTGCACAATTAGTTGACATGGTGGCATATCAGTTTTGACGACTAGCGGACCGTAGAGGGTGGCCGCTTTTCCGAATAGAGTGTAGTAAAGACAAATAAAAAAGACGTACCATTTATATGTAGGTGTCTGTAGGCGCAGTCAATTATGACGTTCGTAATCATTCCAACATAGTGATGTTACGCAATAGTGTAGATTATAAGAGTTATAGCTTACGATCAGCATCATTACGTCAGAAATTCAAGTATTGATATTTTTATGAAGATTCGATTCTTTTGTAAGATATTTCGGGATAGCCTATGAAAACATCATTTGCTTAATGATCTTGTTGTAATGAAATTGTTGTTAAGTATTTATAATAAGTGGCTAATCCGTGAACATATATAAAATAACGATATAGCAGAACTGTACGTCGATGTCATGTATGAACACATTCTGTAGATAGAGTTCCATAAATTTTCTTAATTTTAAAATGTTACGCAAGTGATCTAGTACGCAGAGCTTTAAGTTGTTATGATGAGGCCGTTGTTGTACATAAATTTGTAATTATCGTGTTAACATTTTAAAATTATAACAGATGAGTGCACTGAGCACGACAATTATGTAGTTATTCTGAATGTGTAAATATAGAAATAATATATGAGTTCTTTATTTCGTCTGAACCCTACCCCGTCCTTGTGCTGGTGGTGGGCTTGTCTCGTGTGCTTTCTCTTCAAAGTAACTGCACTGCGACTTTAATCATCTTACTCACTCGTGTGTGTTTTCTCGAAAATCCTTAAACCTCTTTAGAAGCTAGAGAATGCTGCATGATTGCTTGAATCGGAGGTAAGTACCGCGAGAGGTTTAAGGAGCGTTTAATACGATAATCGTAGACATTTTTTATTTTATTTGTTCCGTTTCAGTCGGCCAGTTCCAAATATACCTCCAAGAATACCCGATAGGCCCTATCCTGGAAGACCAAATTAAAGTTTCTAGTCAAAATTCAGATTGTGGGACCAACGAGGTTAACTTACTCAGTGACACTACACACAAGATTGTGAATTCAAAACTATGTGATTGTAAATGTAAGGGATAAAGACTTCTTTATATTGCTTACGTTTGTTTATTTTAATTTCGAGCTGTAACAACACAGTACAACTGACAGTAATAATTTGTACCTAGTCTACATGTATAGTATTATCCCACTTATGTTTTCCTGAACGAAATTAATTTAATTTTATAAATTCAGTTGCTGTATATATTTAATTGTTACTTTGTACTCTTAAACTTATTTGTAATATATTGTTTATTTTTATTACGCATTCTTTTCATTTACGCACAATTAGACAAACACCGTCTTTCTACCACTTTATTCTTACTATTTACAACTACTCTGTTTCAAAAGTGTAGTGTTTTTTACCGTCAATGGGGTACTGTCTGGGGACAAGCGGGTGAAACATTTTGAATTTTTCAAAAATACAATAAATCCCGAACGTTCCGAACATCACCCCCAAGAACTGCAACCACTGCGTGCGCAACGAGTACCTCAGACGTGCACTCACATTGTAGCGGTCCTCCCTCATCAAGTCAAATTCGGCATGCATCTAAAAAACCTAATTAAAACTAGACAAAAGTACCAATTTACGTACGGGTTCGTTAAAGTTGCGCTTAAGCTCAGGGTTATCCCACGGGTAGTAGGGGTCTTTGCTGTCCGCCCCGACCTCCGGCAATTTTGGATAGTCGCCCCAGCCGGTCCCATCATTGGGATACAATTTATACTCAGAAGGGTGCAAACCGTACTTCTCCGCCGCCTTAAGCTTTTCTTCTTCAGTGCGGGGGTACGGGCCTGGTTTATAGTCCTTGTTCCAGTCTAAAAGGTTCATTACATAAGTGTTTTGAGGTTAGGTGGTGACTTACGATTTCTGACTGCAGTTACTAAAACGGGGTTGTATTTTAAACTCAACTGGGTAATTTTGGCGGATTTAATTAAAGACGACATTGTTTTGTGGTTTTAATAATAACTTTATCGATGGTCCAAATGGTGTTGACAGCTGTCAACTGTCAGTCATTGTGACGTATGAACAAATTGAAAATTTTAAATTAATTAAAACTGGAATTGTATGTAAGTAAAGTGATTCGGGAAAAACTGCTGATTGTATTTAAAAATTGCATTGTTTTGGGACGAAATGTTGCTTTTCTTTTTGTTTCTTCAGGTTCAATGTGTTGTTGCGTTGCCAACTTGGTGCATCAAAGTAACTAAATAACTAGAAAAATCACCAACCTAGATTGGTTAATCTAACCTCAAAGTTTAGCGGAATTAAGGTAAAAAAAAATCAAACTTCGCTAATTTATTATAGATTATTAAATTAGTTCCAACTCCAAATTTCAAGAGGACTGATTTTTTTCAAGCATTTGATGGTAATTGGAGCCCCAAATGGAAAATTGTATTGATTTTTGGCGTGTCTTCAATTGTAGAACATTTGTGAATGTAGAAGTGAAAGGGATGATTTGTGCAGAATTGGAAGAGCACATCAAATATAGCCACAATTGGTGAAAGGGGGGCTAACGCTTCAGGTAGTATTTTCTGAACTGAAAAAACATTTTGTTGTCGGTGCCTAGACTGTTAATTCTGCAATAGAAATAAATCCATCGGTTTCATCATTAATCAGCCACTAGAGCGGCTGAAAGTAAACAGACTTGACATGTTTAGCACGAAGTTTGAGCCTTATAAGGCGAGAAAAAATCTGGCTTCCAAGTTGGAACTTGGAATATAAGTATGACACACAAGTGCGGTAAATTGAACTTACCGGATGATAGGACACCGTTACCCAATAGAAACAAATTTATTATAACTTGTTTTGATTGTTTCAGATTTCCGTTTAGTTGTGACGCATGCGCTAACGTCATCGGTGTGTGCATTACCCATTTCTTGCAACAGCTGCAGTTTTTCCCCTATTTTTGAATTACGAAATAGGTCATGTTGGTGTATTTATAACTAAGATGCAGTTCCCGCAATTTTTATCTACGTCCGCTTTGTTATCTGATAGTGGCAACAATGCAGCTTCTGCAATAATAATTTCTTTGTGATAAATTTAAAAAAGATTCACGTGTCGGTATAGAATAACCGCTGAATCAGGTTTCGTTGCTACGCGTTTGCATATTTATAACATCTGGTCAGTTTTTTGTTTAAATTGACGTCCTGATGGTGTAGTACAAGTCCTGTAAGATAGGTAGCGCCACAGTAAAAAATACAAAAAAAAGTTTAAATTTTAATTAAATTGTTCGTCCAGTACTGTACCCAAATACCATCGCACCATCTACCTGCCCACCTGCAAGGTGGCAAAACTTTTCTAAATATAGTCCTCTCCGCCAACCACTTAAATTCCAATAAATTAACCGTTGTCGATCCTTCGATGGTCACTCAATGGTGAATCATCCCAAACACGTTCCCAACGTCTAGAAGCCACTAAAATTAATTTCCCAATGGGTCCGACACCACAACAAAAATTTAACACGTACCTGTGACCATTACCTGAGAAGCGGCAAACTGGTCTGTCAACAAAAAATTCCACGTTCGGAAACAATGAGTCGTTAAAACGCACATCAGAAATTGTTGGCAAAGGCGAGGCGACCAAAATAAATCAAAAAAAGATGCTCGAAAACCGGAATCGTCTTTATGGCACTCGTACCATGGTAACTCGATACAGGTAGGTCCGTTGGCGGTGAAATATTGCGGATGGGACTTTTACGGCCCTAACAATGAAGACGTTGCTGTGGCGGGGTTGGACGAAACGTTTTCTTTATCGGGGAAAAATCGGATACGCCTCTGGAGAGAATAATGTTTGTAGGAATGATAATGGTGTGTTGGTGGGATGGTTATGGAATATCGGAACAAATCTGGACTAGCGTTGCGTGGATGCATTTAATGGAGTTTTATCGCTTTGATAATGCTTAAAAATATTAAAAACTTTTCCCGCCAACTACTCAAAATTAATTTTTTGTTTTTGTATCTTGTTTTGCAACGTTGTTACTTGTAATCTGAACGTTCTAATAATCGAATTCTTTCGAAGTATAAATATAAACACTCGAAGTTAAGCATGTAGTGAGAAACTGAGAATACATTTTTTCGCGTAGGTTATCCGATTTAAATATATTTCATACTGACCACATCCAAACTCAGCTTTTATACATTTTTGAAGAAGCGGAATTTTTTGGACTCTACTGTAAGAGTGAGGGAAGTTTTATCGAAGTAACCTTTGATAATTTTTTTTATCCATTTATATAATTTACTGAAAATACTGATTTTCTCTCAACGCTTGGAATATAACTAAAAAAATAAATCCAAATAAGGATTCCCTACCAGCAAATACAAAATTGATTTCTTCAGAAAATTTTCAAGTAGTGTTATAATATTTCAATTTGTAATAATTACATTAAATTTTGACTGTCTAAATAGCAAACTCGATTTTTTTTTTGATAAAATTTTGGCGATGTTTCTCAAATAACTTGGTTCTAACAAATTTATTTCTTAAATTTTGTTTTTCCTTTAGAAATGCTGAAATTCCTTCAAAACACTGAGTTTTCTTTGGATATTTGTAAAACATTGACCAATTTTATAAAAATTTATCAGAAAATTGTGACTTCTAAACTAGTCAATTTTGTACAAAATTTTAAATATGTACTCGAAAACATTCGAAATTTTTGAAAATAAATATGCAGATTTTGCGAATGAAAATTTTACTTTGTTTAAATATAGTCCGATTTTAGCTGAAGGATTTTTTTCTTCTAGTGGAAACGATGAAAAAATAAATTAAAATAAGAGTGCCTTACCACTAAATAAAAATCCTGTCTTCAGAATTTTTTCATTCGGTCTTAATTTTTCAATTTGTAACTTGGACATAAAATTTTTTGATACAATTTTGACTTTGTTTCTCAAATAATTTGGTTCTAACAAATTTTGATTTTTCTTAAATTTTGTTTTTCCTTTCGAAATGCTGAAATTTCTTCAAAACACTGAGCTTTCCCTCGATATTTGTAAAACAGACCAATCTTACAAAAGTTTTTCAGAAAATTTTGACTTCTAAACTAGTAAATTTTGAAAAAAATTTAAATACTCGAAAACATTCGAAATTTTAGAAAATAAATATGCAGATTTTGTGAATGAAAATTTTACTTTATTTAAAGAATTTTTTTTCTTCAAGTGCCAAAATTTAGTCTAAATAATGATTTTCCTTCAACGATTGAAAATGAAAAAATAAATCAAAATAAGACTTCCTTACCACGCAATAAAAATCTAATGTCCTCAGAATTTTTTCAATTGGTCTTTAAATTTTTTGATAACATTTTAACTTTGCTTCTCAAATAACTTGGTTCTAACAAATTTAGCCTTTTCTTAAATTTTGTTTTTCCTTTCGAAATGCTGAAATTCTTTCAAAACACGGAGTTATTTCTCGATATTTGTAAAACATAGACCAATCTTACATATTTTTTCAGAAAATTTTGACTTCTGAACTAATAATTTTTGTACAAAATTTTAAAAACTCGAAAACATTCGAAATTTTTGAGATATTCAAAATTCCTGCCTTGTACGTATAAGCAAGCTCGTAATGTTTTCAAATTGTGATCATTTGTTGTAAAAGTTAGTCATCAGTACTTGCTAAAATAAAACGGATTTTGCCAAATGACATACTCTCTAAGAAAAGAAAGGGTGGGTGGGCGGGGCTACTAGCTGCCAAGATAAGACTGATTTTGGCAAATGAGATACACCCTAAAAAAAGAGAGGGTGGGTGGGCGGGGCTAGTAGCTGCCAAGATAAGACTGATTTTGGCAAATGCCATACCCTCTAAAAAAAAGAGAGGGTGGGTGGGCGGGGCTACTATCTGACAAGATAAGACTGATTTTGGCTAATGACATACCTTCTAAGAAATGAGAGAGTAGGTGGACGGGGCTAGTATGCTAGGATAAAACTGATTTTGGCCTATAAGAAAATAGAAGGTGGGTGGGCGGGGTTAATGCCTGCTAATCTAAGATCGCTTTTGGCAAATGAGATACCCTCTGAGAAAATAGTGGGCGGGTGGGGCTAGTACCTGCTAAAATCAATTTTTATTTTAGGAGCTACTAGCCCCACCCACCCGCCCTCTATTTTCTTAGAGGGATCTAATTTGCCAAAATCAGCCTTACCTTGGCAAGTACTAGGCCCGCCCACCCACCCTCTGTTTTCTTAGACGATATTTCATTTGCCAAAATCAGTTTTTTCTTAGCACGTAGTAGCTAAATTTTTTGATAAAACTTTGGCTTTGTTTCTCAAATAACTTGGTTCTATTTTTTTTTCTTAAATTTTGTTTTCCGTTCGAAATGCTGAAATTCCTTCAAAATCCTGAGTTTTCTCTGGCTATTTGTGAAACATTAAGCAATCTTACAAAAGTGTTTCAGAAAATTTTGACTTTAAACTAGTAAATTTTGCAGTGTTTATCACAGTGAATTATGTATAAGAGTTTAAATATTCGAAAACATTCGAAATTTTTGAAAATAAATAAGCACATTTTGTGAATGAAAATTTTACCTTGTATAAATATAGTGTGATTTTAGCTGAAGAATTTTTTTCTTCAAGTGTCAAAATTTACTCAAAATAATGATTTTCCCCCAAAAATGAATCAAAATAAGAGTTCCTTACCACGAAATAAAATTTAATGTCTTCAAAATTTTTCAAATGGTCTTAATTTTTCAACTTTCTGAAGATTTGTACAAAATGAGTAAATTTTGGCACCTGGCTTGTCAATCAATTGTGTCTGCGATATCGCTCTGGGAAAGTTCTACGGCTGGGAAAACCACTACATTTAATAACTGAATATATTAAAAATGTTATGTCACATCTCATATTTTAAAATTTGTTGAACCAGCTTCTGTCTTGGCCTCCGAAATTCCAGGTGTATGTTAATAATTTTATTTATTTCATGTTATGTTTTCGCCATTTGCGTCAATCTAGGCTACTGTTCTCCGTAAAGAAAGAAAATCGGTTTGATGTAGCACTAGAATTGTTCAAAATCTCGTACGAGTAGTACCTGATTATTAATTATCTTGTTATTTAAGTCGTTGTTGCGTATGAAACCATCGACCAGTTTCTGCATTGTCTTTGTCCGCAACAATACCCAAATCAGCCTTGCAATTCCGAAAAAAACCCGTCCAAAGTCCATCCCCGGCCATCTCGTTTTGATCGGTCTGTGGTCGGTGCAGACCGCTAGAGGCTGTTAGGCATCAGAACTTATTTTCACGGTCGCCTCTCCGGCGGAGGAGTGAAGAGGAAATGGGTAACACGGTGAATAAAGTGGGTGGGAACCGGCCGTCTGTCCGATTGTGAGAAATGGATAAGTCGTTAAGACATTTCATAGGTGTCCAATGTAATGACCGCTAATCTATGACGTGGCCGTCGGTATTACAAAAGAATGCCAGCTCGAAGGCCCCATGCCGTTGAAATTTCGAAAAATTCTTGTCTTGCAGACTCGTCGTGGATACAGAGAGGTTGTTGCCTCCGCTTGCTTGGATGCTGCAGGTGCGGTTATTGCTGGCTGGCTGATGGCTGGAGTATGGCCCCACATGGCCTCGACTACCGACGACGGCTTCTGTTCACCTTCTACTATTCAGCGCTATTTTTATGGGCCAAACGGTGGTCCGTTACCCATGTGATGGCTCTTCGGAGCGTAATTATTTTATCAGTGGTCGACGCGAAAATGGCGACGATTTTTCGCGGTTTTTCCAGTTTCGCCAAAATTTTAGAGTCACAGGGCTATAAAGTCTCATTAGAAACGTCTTAGTTGCCCGTAATTGATCAAGAAAAGTGGCACATTGCACATGGCGTCATTTCGCACGGGTTGCCATGGCAACGGCTATAGCGAAATGTCAGTTCTGATTTCCTCATTCCGTCATAGTCAAATTAAATAGTATCTGTTCCAGTAGCAATTGGAGTACCTCAAGGCACAGTCTTGGGGCCATTATTATTCTTGTTTTCCACTTGTGACATCTTCTCGGTATAAACTATCAAAAATTATTAGTTATGCAGACGATACGCAAATTTATCTCTCATTTAAATTAAAAGATATAACTTTTCCTTGTGACAAAATCAACGTTTAACCCAGTTTTTCCTTTCGAAGTATTGAAATTTCTTGAAAATACAAATTAATTTAATGCTTCAAAAGTTCAAAAATAAACTCGAAATAAATATTCACAGTTTTGGATGAAATTTTTGCTTAGTTTATAAAATATTGTGATTTTTTGCGATTTTTTTTTTCTTATTTATTCTCAATAACATTTTGTTTTTATTTTTCAATTTCCACCTAACGATTTTTTTAAACCTAGTTTTCTTTTCCGAAGTGCTGAAATTTTTCCAAAATACTATTTTTTTTTCTCGATATTTGCAAAAATAAATGAGAATTTTGACTTATATTGAACGAAAGTTTAATGCTTAAGAAATAAATTCTAATTTTTCTCTTGATATTTGGAAAACAGTTAAAAATAACTCAGTCTTAAAAAAGTTTTTGAAGAAATTTTGATTTATAAACTAGTAAATATTGAACGAAAATTCAAATGCCTGAGAAATAAATTCGAATTTTTTGAAAAAAATACACAATTTTGGATGAAATTTTTGCCAAGTTTGTTATATACTGTGTTTTTGGCCAAAGAATTCTTCTTTAATGTAATTTTTTCACAATACGTACATTTTTTAATAAAATTTTAACGTAGTTTGTAAAATATAATTATTTTTAAGAAATTTTGGCATTTAAAGTACTTAATATTGAACGAAATGTTGAATGCTTGAACAGTTCAAAAATGAACTCGAAATAAATATTCACAGTTTTGGGTGAAATTTTTGCTTAGTTTATAAAATATTGTGATTTTAGCGATTTTTTTTTTCTTATTCATTCTCAATAACATTTTGTTTTTATTTTTCAATTTCCACCTAACGATTTTTTTAAACCTAGTTTTCTTTTCCGAAGTGCTGAAATTTTTCCAAAATACTATTTTTTTTTCTCGGTATTTGCAAAAATCAATGAGAATTTTGACTTAAATTGAACGAAAGTTTGTTTAATGCTTCAGAAATAAATTCTAATTTTTCTCTTGATATTTGGAAAACAGCTAAAAATAACTCAGTCTTAAAAAGTTATTGAAGAAATTTTGATTTATAAACTAGTAAATATTGAACGAAAATTCAAATGCTTGAGAAATAAATTCGAATTTTTTGAAAAAAATACACAATTTTGGATGAAATTTTTGCCAAGTTTGTTATATACTGTGTTTTTGGCCAAAGAATTCTTCTTTAATCTAATTTTTTCACAATACGTAAATTTTTTAATAAAATTTTAACGTAGTTTGTAAAATATAATTATTTTTAAGAAATTTTGGCATTTAAAGTACTTAATATTGAACGAAATGTTGAATGCTTGAACAGTTCAAAAATGAACTCGAAATAAATATTCACAGTTTTGGATGAAATTTTTGCTTAGTTTATAAAATATTGTGATTTTAGCGATTTTTTTTTCTTATTCATTCTCAATAACATTTTGTTTTTATTTTTCAATTTCCACCTAACGATTTTTTTAAACCTAGTTTTCTTTTCCGAAGTGCTGAAATTTTTCCAAAATACTATTTTTTTTCTCGATATTTGCAAAAATAAATGAGAATTTTGACTTATATTGAACGAAAGTTTAATGCTTCAGAAATAAATTCTAATTTTTCTCTTGATATTTGGAAAACAGTTAAAAATAACTCAGTCTTAAAAAAGTTTTTGAAGAAATTTTGATTTATAAACTAGTAAATATTGAACGAAAATTCAAATGCCTGAGAAATAAATTCGAATTTTTTGAAAAAAATACACAATTTTGGATGAAATTTTTGCCAAGTTTGTTATATACTGTGTTTTTGGCCAAAGAATTCTTCTTTAATGTAATTTTTTCACAATACGTAAATTTTTTAATAAAATTTTAACGTAGTTTGTAAAATATAATTATTTTTAAGAAATTTTGGCATTTAAAGTACTTAATATTGAACGAAATGTTGAATGCTTGAACAGTTCAAAAATGAACTCGAAATAAATATTCACAGTTTTGGGTGAAATTTTTGCTTAGTTTATAAAATATTGTGATTTTAGCGATTTTTTTTTTCTTATTCATTCTCAATAACATTTTGTTTTTATTTTTCAATTTCCACCTAACGATTTTTTTAAACCTAGTTTTCTTTTCCGAAGTGCTGAAATTTTTCCAAAATACTATTTTTTTTTTCTCGGTATTTGCAAAAATCAATGAGAATTTTGACTTAAATTGAACGAAAGTTTGTTTAATGCTTCAGAAATAAATTCTAATTTTTCTCTTGATATTTGGAAAACAGTTAAAAATAACTCAGTCTTAAAAAAGTTTTTGAAGAAATTTTGATTTATAAACTAGTAAATATTGAACGAAAATTCAAATGCTTGAGAAATAAATTCGAATTTTTTGAAAAAAATACACAATTTTGGATAAAATTTTTGCCAAGTTTGTTATATACTGTGTTTTTGGCCAAAGAATTCTTCTTTAATCTAATTTTTTCACAATACGTAAATTTTTTAATAAAATTTTAACGTAGTTTGTAAAATATAATTATTTTTAAGAAATTTTGGCATTTAAAGTACTTAATATTGAACGAAATGTTGAATGCTTGAACAGTTCAAAAATGAACTCGAAATAAATATTCACAGTTTTGGGTGAAATTTTTGCTTAGTTTATAAAATATTGTGATTTTAGCGATTTTTTTTTTCTTATTCATTCTCAATAACATTTTGTTTTTATTTTTCAATTTCCACCTAACGATTTTTTTAAACCTAGTTTTCTTTTCCGAAGTGCTGAAATTTTTCCAAAATACTATTTTTTTTTCTCGGTATTTGCAAAAATCAATGAGAATTTTGACTTAAATTGAACGAAAGTTTGTTTAATGCTTCAGAAATAAATTCTAATTTTTCTCTTGATATTTGGAAAACAGCTAAAAATAACTCAGTCTTAAAAAGTTATTGAAGAAATTTTGATTTATAAACTAGTAAATATTGAACGAAAATTCAAATGCTTGAGAAATAAATTCGAATTTTTTGAAAAAAATACACAATTTTGGATGAAATTTTTGCCAAGTTTGTTATATACTGTGTTTTTGGCCAAAGAATTCTTCTTTAATCTAATTTTTTCACAATACGTAAATTTTTTAATAAAATTTTAACGTAGTTTGTAAAATATAATTATTTTTAAGAAATTTTGGCATTTAAAGTACTTAATATTGAACGAAATGTTGAATGCTTGAACAGTTCAAAAATGAACTCGAAATAAATATTCACAGTTTTGGATGAAATTTTTGCTTAGTTTATAAAATATTGTGATTTTAGCGATTTTTTTTTCTTATTCATTCTCAATAACATTTTGTTTTTATTTTTCAATTTCCACCTAACGATTTTTTTAAACCTAGTTTTCTTTTCCGAAGTGCTGAAATTTTTCCAAAATACTATTTTTTTTCTCGATATTTGCAAAAATAAATGAGAATTTTGACTTATATTGAACGAAAGTTTAATGCTTCAGAAATAAATTCTAATTTTTCTCTTGATATTTGGAAAACAGTTAAAAATAACTCAGTCTTAAAAAAGTTTTTGAAGAAATTTTGATTTATAAACTAGTAAATATTGAACGAAAATTCAAATGCCTGAGAAATAAATTCGAATTTTTTGAAAAAAATACACAATTTTGGATGAAATTTTTGCCAAGTTTGTTATATACTGTGTTTTTGGCCAAAGAATTCTTCTTTAATGTAATTTTTTCACAATACGTAAATTTTTTAATAAAATTTTAACGTAGTTTGTAAAATATAATTATTTTTAAGAAATTTTGGCATTTAAAGTACTTAATATTGAACGAAATGTTGAATGCTTGAACAGTTCAAAAATGAACTCGAAATAAATATTCACAGTTTTGGGTGAAATTTTTGCTTAGTTTATAAAATATTGTGATTTTAGCGATTTTTTTTTTCTTATTCATTCTCAATAACATTTTGTTTTTATTTTTCAATTTCCACCTAACGATTTTTTTAAACCTAGTTTTCTTTTCCGAAGTGCTGAAATTTTTCCAAAATACTATTTTTTTTTTCTCGGTATTTGCAAAAATCAATGAGAATTTTGACTTAAATTGAACGAAAGTTTGTTTAATGCTTCAGAAATAAATTCTAATTTTTCTCTTGATATTTGGAAAACAGTTAAAAATAACTCAGTCTTAAAAAAGTTTTTGAAGAAATTTTGATTTATAAACTAGTAAATATTGAACGAAAATTCAAATGCTTGAGAAATAAATTCGAATTTTTTGAAAAAAATACACAATTTTGGATAAAATTTTTGCCAAGTTTGTTATATACCTACTGTGTTTTTGGCCAAAGAATTATTCTTTAATCTAATTTTTTCACAATACGTAAATTTTTTAATAAAATTTTAACGTAGTTTGTAAAATATAATTATTTTTAAGAAATTTTGGCATTTAAAGTACTTAATATTGAACGAAATGTTGAATGCTTGAACAGTTCAAAAATGAACTCGAAATAAATATTCACAGTTTTGGATGAAATTTTTGCTTAGTTTATAAAATATTGTGATTTTAGCGATTTTTTTTTCTTATTCATTCTCAATAACATTTTGTTTTTATTTTTCAATTTCCACCTAACGATTTTTTTAAACCTAGTTTTCTTTTCCGAAGTGCTGAAATTTTTCCAAAATACTATTTTTTTTCTCGGTATTTGCAAAAATAAATGAGAATTTTGACTTATATTGAACGAAAGTTTAATGCTTCAGAAATAAATTCTAATTTTTCTCTTGATATTTGGAAAACAGCTAAAAATAACTCAGTCT